ATATATGCGAATACATACGAATGGCACAACTTGTTCCTAGCCCCTAGCATTTGGTCAGCGACAAAAAGTAAGGATTCAAATCAATGATTGATGGATGAAAAATATCCGGCCATTTCTATTTTTTCAACTCATTTTCTAGTAATCAATTGGCCTAATTATCCATCTATTTCGATTATTAAGAGATCGAGACGATGAAACGGTAGAAAAATACACAATCGCCGATTTTTTATGATGCATTCACTGCAGTGACCATAAAAAGATTAAAACACATCAATAGAGAGCAATTGCATGGAATGGTTTCTCTCTCTCTCTGTCTCCCTCTAGTCTAGTTAGCACATTTTTTACAATACAATTAAAACCCATTTGAATGTTTTTTTTTCAAATAATCGTACAGAAACCTTTATTTCAATGGTTTACAATCGAAAATAACTTGATTTGCAACTCAATTGCATAGTTTTAATCAAAAACGGCACTTCATTTGACCCACTGTGCTGTCCCAATGACAGTCTATGGCAGCTTTGGCAGCTCCTAAATCATCAATATCTTCTGTAAAATAAAAAGAGTTTTTGAAACCTAATTCATCATCGTACAGAAACAGTAATTTCATACACTTAATCTTACCATTTCCTGGTCTGGCTTCAATTGATAACATCAAAGCAATGCAAGCAATAATGAAAAATACCAACAAAAATTTCATGTTTATGGTAGTTCTCATTGTCTTCAAGTGAAACAGTTAATACAATTCAAATAAAAATAAAAAACACTGTGAATGTTAAATGCGTTGAAATTAATGTTCGCTGTGCACAATTGCGCAAAGTCTAATTATGGATTCTGATTTGGAGGATGCTTTTATACTTCCACAATATGTGCTTTCTTTTTCTTAGAATTTAGCGAAACTTTGATAGACAAAAGAATGATTACAGAAAAAACTGTATTAATCACCAATCACAGAGTAATTCACCAAGTGATTGAATAAACAAACTGATAATTTTACTTTGTGATGATGGTGATTCATTTGAACCGATGATTCATAGTGACATCGCTTTGCAATGCTATTATCAGTGACTCTTTGAGCTTGGCTAGAGATTTTTGTTTCTTGAATTACTCGTCGTTAAATAATTATGGGGGGACTTTCGTAAAATAGATGTAATCAGCTGAACGGTGAATAGAAAACATGAAGCGGATGATTCATATTATAAATCATATCACAAGATTAACAAACAAAGCAAACATTTAAGACCACCTGGCTATCAAAAGATTCAAAATTAAATAAAATAATTTCACCCAATTTCAAAGTAGTTAACATTCAATCATGCACCTTGACTGTCAGTGTTTTTCTATTTAAAACCATAAAAAAATCTGTATCGTCTTCTTACAGCGGTTCTCATTTTGACGTTTGAACAACGTAGAATATTGAAATTTTGACAGTAAGTAACACTCGATTGTCTGCTATGAAAACGGCTGTTGTGTGTCGCTACTATACTAGTTATTGATAGTAGATTTAGACATTGATACTGGAAATGGACGCATTATATGAAGATATTCAAATATGACTAGATGAAATACCCCTGTTAATGTTATTATTATCATTGATTAATCAAGTAATACAATCTATTTCCATCATATTTTATTACTATACATTTTAATATTGAAAAAAATACTCTTGCCAAGCTCAAAGAGTCACTGATAATAACATCACAAGGCGATGCCACTTTGAATCATCGGTTCAGATGAATCACCATCATCGTAGAAGTAAAAATTCTCAGTTTGTTTATTATTTGGGTGAATCATTCTGTGATTATCACCATTCCTTTGTCTATCAAAGTTTCATTATGTTTCACATTTTATTTTATTGATTTTTCATTACATTGGTTATTCACAAACAATTAACAATATACATATATATTTATGGTCTTGGTTCTAACTTAATCAAATGCTTTTTGACTAATCTCAAGCTGACAATTTTCACAAATTCCAGTTGATCAATACTCGTGTAAGTGGTTGTCAAATGGTAGTTCCGGACTAAATGAGCGACGAAACATTTTACAGCTACTTTTGCGTAGTAATACCCTAGATGAGACAAAAAAAATTATACATCATAAATGGTGTTTTAACAGATTGTTCTTCATCTACTTGATGAAAAAAGTCTTGATTCGATTTTAGATATGAGGACACAGAGAGTGTACACGATTCTCTTATCAACGCTAAAGCAATAATGGTAAGATTCAATAATAATCACGGAGCTGTGATGTCAATGTTTGCGTATCCATTGTCTATTGAGTACGATGTCCAATCATATCAAATTAAGTCTTAAGTTACTAAATGGTTAATCACTTTCCGAAGCAATTTACCAAATGTATGAATAACTCACCAATACAATTTCTGGGTCCATAGCTAAATGGAATATACGCAGCTGCGGGTACATTTTTCATGTTTTCATCTAAAAATCGATATGGATCGAACATATTTGCGGTTGGACCGTAGTATTTTTCTTGTATTTGAGTTTGTCGCAACCCGAAAACCAGCGGAACACCTGGAGGAATCTCAACATTATTGCTCAATTTAATGGGTTTGCTAGCAACACGTCCAATCAGAGGAACCGTTGGAAATAAGCGCAGAGTTTCTTTAATGCAAAGTTCGAGGAACGTGAGTTTATCAAGATCGATTTGTGACAGATTCGCATTTTTATCCGGCATTACGGCTAAAATCTCTTGAAACACTTTTTCTTGGTATTCCGGATGCATGGCCAAGCATAAAGCGACATATGCAGACGATGTGGACGTGGTGTCTGTGGCCTAAAATTTGAAATATTTTCACAAATGAACTATTCTTACAAAATGAAAGAATAAAGCTTGATTAGAAATGTCATTACACTAGTTAAAATTGTAGCCGTCTCCGCAAAAATATCTTCTTTCATAAAATTCGGGTTGATCTTTGATACATCTATAAGTCTTTTCATGAATGTTCCACTGTCATCTTCATTTTTGAATTCATTGTAGTACATCTGAAAGAGAATTGAAAGAAAAATTCTTGAAAACTGGGCATCAATCACCGTATATGATTGACATTGTATATACGTCGCTATTACTTTTTCAAACAACTGATGACCGTATTCATTGTACTCTTTCAAACGTTTGGCAGCTGCAGTGAAATTCCAAACGAAATCGAAATGAAACAATGGTTGTAAAATTCGCTTTGCCACAATTTCAACGCCTCTGCAAAAAAAAAAGAGGTGAATGTTAGAATAGGTTCATTCTTTGTAAATGAATATATCGACGAAATCGTTACAATCGACAGCCTAATTGCAATTCTTCACTCGCTAGATGAATAAAAGTAAATAATTGTGATTGAACAAGTACAATAATGATAGATCATCAATGTGTTGCAATTACTAAGTACTACGTTGAACGTATCAAATGTTATACCGTGCCAAGTTCAATGTATGAATTCAACACTACCCGGTGCTGTGATTATACAGATGCTTCAATTTAGCTAGTACTATTAAGTGAAGCTACTGCCTGGGTATGAAGACCGGTTATATGAAACAATTAGCCCAATCGCTGCGCTCGTAATTGATCCAGTAAATAATTGCTAGCAAACAATGAGCTCGTAACGTTCGTTAGCGAGCGATGAGCATGCATTTTAAGTCGATATACTGAATAGAGGAGTCTTTGAAAATTTCGAATTTTAACACGAGTTAAACATACGCAACATATTGATGTAAGTATCTTTGTTTCATTTCGGGTTCCCAATCGCTGCCCAACGCTGCTTCGACAAACATAGTCATTTTGCACTTGGCTATTGACGGTAGAATATCGAAAAAATCTCCATTTATCGGCAGGTTTGTAATAGTTTTGCGAATATTTTCGTTGAAAACTGGTAAATGTGCGTTTACACTGTGTTGACTTAATGTTGGACTGACCAAACGTCTGTGTACTTTCCATTCATCGCCTGAAAAATGTGACAAATAAAACGAAACAAATTAAAATAAGGTCAAGAACTAAGAAAAATTGATCAAAATATTGACAAAGGGCACTTCAATCGTACCTTTCAATGTAACCAAGCCATCCACGCCTAGACCATCTTTGATCGTCCTATAAAATGTTTCCGGTTTACTCAAACAGTCTTTGGATTTCAGTAGAATTTCCACATTTTCGGCATCCGTAATGAAGACGACCAACATCGGACCAAACCACAAACGAAACGGACTCCCGTATTTTTTTGACAATCGATCAATGTATGAATGCAATTCTGAAATTAAAAATTAGATGAACATCAGATAAGAATAATGTTTTTTTTTTATTAAAACAACTTCAGATCAACGCATGAGTCTTTCTTGATTCAATTTCAACACTTTTTATTGGTCACTTTTCAGCACACACACGTACAAAAACAAAGGAATAATTTTCTTCGATTTTCTATTTCTTCAACTCACTATTTTGCCGCATAGACAACACATTTCCAACGATTGGAAAGGCAAATGGTCCCGACAATTGCCATGATAATTTGTACAATTTGCGACGTGACCACAATAAATACGTTAAGAAAACTATTACAATTGCTTGGAATATGAACATTTTCACACTATGATGTCTTACTTATAGCAATTCGATAGCAAATGACTCGAAATTTACACCATCTTCCTTCTTTTATAGCATGGAATGAGAAATAAAGATGTATTACACGTGTTTTTCTCGCCACTTCATCTGTAATTAACAGCAAATAATTCCTCCATATTATCATAATCCTATGACCTTAGAGTCATTATCTCCAAAAATATCTTACGGAAAGTCTGATCTTCGTTCAAGTTACTAAAAATGAATGTGAAAAGAAGAAATAGCTACAGAATTGCTCCGTGTACTTTGATCATGAATCGGAGAATGTGAATATGATTGTGATTATTTAACTTCAATTCAAATTCAAAATAATTAAGGAATTTCTAAGGAATTAACTGATTTGTTCGATTTAAAACAATGATTCGGAGTTTTTTTGTTGCAGAAATTATCTCCTTTTAATCAATCACTGGCATGACCGAACCGGATCGAATAAAATTTCAAAGTATCAAATGAATGTGATCATGCCGGCAAATATTGCTTCGAGCAAGCAACTTTTTATTGAGTAATTAGTGTTCGGATTGATGTGGAGAAAATGGATAACTCAATCAATAATCAACCAAACCAGCTGTTGATACTCATTACTCAATCAAAAGGAATTGCGAATCATTTTTCGGCTCAATATCGGAGATCATCAATTGACTCAGAGAAAAAAGCCGATTTGTACGTAGATAAAGGCATGAAAACTCCTCTTCTGTGGGTAATTTGGCAAAAATTGTCAATGTGACGAAGTAAATTGAATCTTATATCTTTACTGAAGATTCTTTAGCTTATTTTGAAACAAATTCTGCGGTTACTGACATTAAATTTTGTGATGACGGAACTAGGGGCGAGACACAAATTCTAGTAGAGTCTAGTTACATTCAATTTTATATATTTTTGCTGTATGTCCTCTAATTTCTCTAGTTTTGCTGCAAAAGTGCTAATATTGTGCTATTATTTCTATTAAAATCGGTTGCAGAGCATACTATACTGCTAGGGGCTTTCATGTATATTCCATCCAAGAAATATACACCATAGATGACAGTTATACGAAATATTCACAATACTGGCTAAATATGCACCATATTCATGAAATATACACCTCATATTCACGATCGGTAACAATGATTCGACATTGCCGTAAACACATATTTTTTACATGCTGTGTATATTCTGTGAATATGGTGAATATTTTTTGTGAATATATACACGATATACACGGATTATATGCAATATTCACGAAATATTCAGTGAATATTATTCACACAAATACGAATGTATATTTTGACTTAAAAGCCCCTAGCTATACTGTCAATACAACACTTATGGAAGACCTAACGGGATTATTTTGTAAACATTGAACAATACGTCCATTAGCGTTAACATTGGCAAACCAAATTCACTAAATTCTTCTATTTTTCCTATTTATCGTTGAATAATGTTCTAATTTTACTCATTTAAGTTTCGTGTCGCCCCCCTAGTGAGGTGATAAATGAGTGAATGAATAATCGTCAAAACAATAAAACATTTTTTTGTTTCGAATAATTTTATCTTTTCTTTTCAGTTCTTTTTATTTCAATTTATTACGTTTTTCAAGATCTTGGTTCCAATTTAACCAGATGCCTTTTAACCAATCGCAAGCTGGCAATTTTCTCAATTTGAAGTTGATCAATGCTCTTGTATGTTGTTATCAAACGATAGTTCCGGATCAAGTGAGCGATGAAACATTACCGATGCTTTTGCGTAATGATACCCAAAACAAAAGATCAACATTATTAACTAAAATTAATTGAAAATTATCAACAAATACTTATCATTCATCAAATTCAAATTATAATTGTTAGTAATAGTACCTTCCAGCGTGACTAAACCATCTAGGCTTTGACCATCCTTAAGTGCTTTGTAAAATATTTCCGGTTTACTCAAGCAATCTTTTGATTTCAATAAAATTTCAATATTTTCTGCATCAGCAATGCAGGCTTGCCACTCAATTTTAGAAGAAACAAAGCTGAAAAAGCTGAAATTTCAAAGAAAATAGCTGACAAAATAGCTGACCGATTAAACGCTGAAATATCAATACAAACTAGTTCGTTGGCATTTCGTCTGCTCTTATTTAACAAGATTTCGCAATAAAAACTTAGGCATACAATTTTTCATTGTTTTTGTTTATTGAAATCAAGTGAGAAACAATTGCACTTATGAAGAATTTCGTGTGATTTCTTTTTGGCTTTGATCCAATCCATTAGAATTTTTACAAGTTAAGAAATACGAAAGGGTTAGTTTTGCGCGATTATATTTCTTGTGAACTATTTACTCGTCAAGTTGAAATTTACAATTCGAACCATATCTACTATTAGTTGTTTAAATTCAGTTATTACATGAGCTCCTAAGCAGAAGAGCAATATTTTGTGCGAATGAATTGCATATTGGACACACATCTTTTAGTCAACGCTCAAGCGTAAGCACTCACAGAGAGGCGCGCAATAAGATGTTATTGTCACAATAACGTAATTAGTGGTGTGTCAGTCGTACGCATATACAGCATTGCGTGCGACAGATCAAGTAGTCATTGCACCGTTATGTGAGACGACTCGTGCGGATGAGTGTAAGAACGAGCGAGTGACACACCACTCGTGACCTTATTGTGACAATAACATCTTATTGGCACGATCGACAATCAAGTAGTCACTCGTACAGATTGTATTAGTTCTATGGCATTGCTAGCGTCTCTGTATTGTGTATTTATTGACTGTTCATTGTATTCATTTGAATTTTGCGCTCTTGAAATGAAACGAGGCATTTCAATCCATCACCAACAGAGGGGGATTGAATGTTCTCGTCAGTATGGGTTTCATACGTATACACGCCAAGGGATGACGCTAGTTTCTACATTATATTGTTACATAGAAATTTCTGTTGTTGTCGTACTGTGTATAAAATGTATTTTTCAACAAACATGATTGCATGATGATCAATTGAAGAAAATTCTCGAATTCAACGTTACAATAACAAGATGATTGCTATAAATGAATCATTTTGCCCAATCACATGTCCCATTAAAATCAGCGTTCGAAAAGCGAACAAATTGCTGATACCAAGCTTGGGCATCATTGGTCAGAGAGGTCAATTTCTGGAGAAATCATGAGCATGAGGTCTACAGCACGAACCTATTTTTCTCAGCTTGAAATATATTTAAAAAAAATGTTATTGTATGTTTATCAACGGCAGCAACAAATACGCGTGCAGAGATAGACTGTGCACAATGAGCAATAGACATCTTTTGCTACGCATTGATGTTTTCAAACAATTCTATCGTTTGAAGTAAGCAGAGCTAGTTGAAATTTTCACAAGAAATTATGTATTTTAATTGAGAATGTGCAATTATAAAGCTTTCATTTATTGAAACACTTAATAATGTCCATCAAAAATGTAAAGTACCGGACCGTTTCAGAGTTGAAACGGTTTCCTATATAAATAATTTAATTTCTCGATTTCAAAACACGATGATTACAATTCATCGTCATTTCAAAGAATTCCATCCTCGTCTAATACCATTGATTTTACATGTAAAATAATAACAAAAAAACGACAAAAGTGACCTCTCGTAGCGGCACAGTTGAAACTAACGAAACAAACACAATTGAACACATTTTCATGTTCAGTGTTGGTTCTGTTGTTTGCCGTATAGCCGGAGAGAGATGTCTACAGCTTAGTGGCGTTGAATGACATTCAACACCCATGAAGAATTCAAACTCTGGTTTGACTTTTGGAATTTAGAGAGGGAGACTTTAAGCAACATTAGACTGGTTTTTTCTACCAATTCGATAACCAATCAATTTTTTTTAGTCAAAACGTATTTTTTTCCGTAGAAATGTTTCAATACTGATATCCATTATTGTGTCTATTGCCGCATCGATTTCCATATTTATGAATATTGGATTGACTCTGTAATGTCGTACGAGTTACCATAACCAACTAAATGTCATGATGCTTATCAAACTAAGTAAACTTTTGCGTTTTTAGATTTAGAAGATATATTCTCAGAATATAGTATCCTATATAAAAGTTTCTTCATTGTTTCATTTGGAATAGTTGAGTTAAATTCTATCTTCAAGTAACATTAACAGCTCAAAAACAACTTCATTATTTGGAAATTTATCTTTCGAAACCATCGGAAAGGTTGAAATCTTTCCTAAGGCAGTTGGTTATACTTTGTAAGTCCATGTTCTTGTTTCGTCAGACATCGTTCAGCGAAATAAACCGTGTTCGTATCCGAAAACGTAACTGATGAAATGTGCTGTGTACCAGCCAAAATTAACGCGCATTGCTGAGCAGTAGAATAAAAATCGTTACAAATGGATAGAAAATGTCGAAAACAACTTAGTCATATCCGGAGAAAAAATTGCGTACAATGGATTTGTTTATAGCTTTCTTTAAAACAAGATAGGAATCAAATTTGACACGCGCTTACAAACAATGCGAGCTGAATCAAACAAATATTGTTGCTTCTTGTTTATGATGATAATAATCTTCGAATGGAAATATTCCAAATATTGTGAATAAAAGGAAGAAACACGTGAATAAACTTGGAACTAGTTTAACAACAACGAATTTCTGTAAAAAAAAAATTCTTTCAACAGATAATAAATACACTTTACCGAGAATAATTGCTCATATGTAAAAATTGCTTCCATCACCAGTGACTATTCAAACTGACGTAAGAACCAAAATTCACTTGACACAAAAATCAAATCATTGGAAATAAAAATATATTTCTCCATTGCTACTAAAAAAAATTCTACAGAAAATGTTTAAATACTGCATCTTTGATTGGCCCTTCATGAATAGGGCCAATTTTTCTTCCATTATCGAAAACACGTTAAATCCTCAGAACTATAAACGAATTTCTGACAATACTGCCGTGATAACGCAATGCTAACATTACTGTAGAATAGGATTCCGCCAACCACAAGAAAACTTGCATTTTTAAAACGGGATTTGAACAAAGAAATACTCTTGGGTCTTATTATTAATATCATGCCCAAGAAAGGTGGAAATATTTTCGAGACAACAAGAAATTACGTTAATAAATGGTTATATTAATTAGGGAATATGAAGAGATTAAATGGTTCTTCACTCCGTATGAGTATCATTATGGAATGAATATTCCTTTTGAAAAGTTCCATCTTTAACGAAACCCCTGTTAAAATTTAAGTCAAATCCGATTTTACTTTTCCGTACACAACGTGTCAAGGGAAAGTATAGGAATTGGTCCCGAAAACTTTTTTCGCAAAATTGGTTTAGATCATCATGAAAACTTATGAAACGCGTAGAAAACCACTTTTTGAGACACTTTTCCGTTCGTGTGCCGTCGTCGTTGTCGTCGTTGTCGTCGTTAGTGTGTGTTAACACGATAACTCAAAAAATAATTGAGATAATCAAAATCTGGAAACGGCAAAAGTTTTGTATCCGAAAAACTTAGTTTAAGTTTGAAGATGAGCCATTTTCGGTTTGATCCTGGGGTACTTGCCCTAAGAAAAACCTCAAAAAATTGACATTTTTGTATGGGAGGTACCTGTGAATCGACTCCGATTGGCTTCAAACTTTTTGAGATTTCATTTTTTGGGAGAAAAATAAGATTCTGAAAGTTTGAAACCAATCGGAATCGATTTACGGGTACCTCCCATACAAAATTTTTGAAATTTTGACTAAAATTACCGATTTTCGGACAATTTTGTATGGGAGGTACCCGTTAATCGATTCTGATTGGCTTCAAATTTTCTTGAAATAAAGGCAGCGAAAATATAATAATAAAAATAAAGTGAAAAATCGGTCACTTTAACTAAAACTTCGACAATTTTGTATGAGAGGTACCCGTAAACCGATTCCTATTGGCTTCAAACTTTCTGAGGTTTCATTCTTTGGAGAAAAAATAAGATTCTGAAAGTTTCATGTTGATCGCATGTGCAGAAGTTTGGATTTTGGCCCTCAATTTTTTCCAAGAAAATTTCGACAAAAATTGAGGACAAAAAATCAAACTTCTGCAAATGCGATCAAATTATTATAAAATTCATTATTTTCAAAGAAATTTCGATTTTAGATCAAATTAATGCAAATTCCGTTGTTCGGCGACGCCCATTTTTTTCGCCAAATAATTGCAGGTTTCATTGGCGAAAGCCCCGAAAAATGCTTTCCTGAGGTACCGTAAAGTAAAAAAGAATGTATACTAATCAGTAGAAATTGCGTCAAAATCTGTGGGCTCAAATGTATAATACTCCAATGAGGTATTTCCGCGTAATGAATGCATCATCATTGACATAACAAACACATTTATCTTAAGTCACATGCGTTGCGTCGTTTCAACGGATTTTTAGATAAAAATTAACTAGTTTAATAAGGCAAGAGCTCTTTCGAAATGAGCTAAGTGCACGATTTGTTTATTCTAAGAGATTTCAACTTAATTTTGCGATCAACACAACGTGTGCGATTAATCAGATGATTGTGTTTTCTGGGGTCAGTTATTGATGATGATTTCATAGCACGGCATGCGTTGAACTCTGGTTCACTAACGCAGGGTGTGTGTGTGTATACTGATGCATTGATTGTTTGTTTTTATTAATATATGAAATTTATGGCGTGACTATTTGTTATTATGTATTCTTCTTCGATGTCTATACGCGTTTTCAAAATGTCAATGATACTTCTGATGCGACACTAACGTATTAATAATCGGAAAGTAGTTTTCGCGGGAAAGTTAGTGAAAAATAAATGAATGAAATGCGGTTTTCGTCATGCACTAGACTTGTTATAGATAGATTAAGACAAAACACTCGTACGTTGCATGATCAAGCAGTTTTAGTACGCCTGGAGTTAAATTATCACATGCATTGATCAAAAAGATAATCTTGTCAAGATGTCATTTCGGAATGCACATTTCTGAGCAATACTCTGACCAACGTTTTTTTTTTCTTGGAGAGTGATAAAAAGAACATTTTAAGCGGGTGCCTTTTCGAGACAATTCCGATTAAATCGTTTTTAGCCAGTCAATAGCCGGTGAAAGGGTCTGAAATTAATCAACTGTCTCCTCAATCAAAATATTTTGACATGAGATTGATTATGCGAAATATACGCAAATAGTCTACGCCGTATACACGCAGGCCTTCCATCGCTATCTATATCTATTCGTGCGTATATACGACGTAAATGCGACAACAATGTTTAGTCGAGCCCCATTGATAAATTGTTTTTTAACAAAACAGTATGCAATTATCTGAGTTGAGTTGGCTACGAACGTTCATATGTGTTCGTATCTTCGCCGAAAAGAGTTATATATAACGAATGATAAAAACGATTTCTACGAACATAATCTTAATTCAGATGAAAAATAAAAATCATATCAAACGCAATGAATAATTTCGCACAAACAATTTATTCGATAAAATTTTCGATAATAAATTTACTATGGCTTGACATATTTATTGATTGAAATTACAATATAAATTAGCTGTTTGATCTGGACTGATAACGACTTTACTTCTTTTCACTCATGTGACAATTGATTTTACTACTCTGAAGTGATTTGCATACATATATATTATTTGATTGAAGTTAACCCTTTTTGGATGCAATTTTCTCTAGAACATCTTTTCGATTTTATTTTTCTACGAATAAAAAGTAGGAACTTTACCGTTGGCTCTTAAAAATGTAAGTATATTAATATGCAATTTGGACTTATTGAAATAGGTAATTACAAGCAAGCACAAATCATAAACAAATTCGATTCAGATATAAATATCTTAAGATATGCTTATACAGTACTTAAAAATTAATCCTGTATTCAAATTTTCGTCCTATAAGCTTATCTACAGCCACTGTTTACTTGTCTACGGAGCGGATATTTAGTAGCGTTGTGTCAAATGAACATTTTACTTGACAAAAACGGTGGGAAGTGACAATTGTTACTGATTTAAACATTCTCCTTATTCCAATGTGAATTATCTGCGACGCCATACTTGATGAGTTGAATACATATGCCTACTTTTTTTCGTGCAGTACCTTTCGAATGCCTGTTCTTTTGGAATATCGGGATAAAGATGGGTGCACGCCTTTGTCTTTACGATTAGATCACCAATTAAATTAGTTCGAAAATCTTCGTTAATGAATGGTTGCTGGTGGGCGACTCTTGGTTTTCCATCCGGTTGAAGCTCGACATAGGCAACCGAAATCCCACCTAAGAACATACAATTTTCATGTTGAATTTTCATTACAAGTTGAAGCATTTGCCGATGAGAATTGATTAAAATATGGTTGAATTTGAACGTGATTTATGAACTAAATTGAAAATTACGATCAAAGTGAAACGATCGGCTGATAGATTATGAGAATCATACATTCAAATTGGATGATGCGACTAGATGTCATATTTTCTGAAACTTTTAGGAATTTTAGGACAATTTTGCGGATATTTTATGACAATTTGATCATTTCTATGACATTTAACGGGATTTTTTTAAAGGTAAATTCTCATTTTTTTTCTTATCATCAGTTTACTTACCGAGAAAAGTGTCGGTGAATCGCAATAAAAATGTTCCGGGTGGGCAATTAGTCAGTCTTTCTTCAGTGTGAGGCCTGCTGATGAAACCAGTAACAAGCCCCTCCATCCACGGTTCACGCAGATGATCTCGACTTAATTTAATTACCGCATAGAACCAGTCCCAAAATGTAAACTTTCGATCTGGCAACATATTTTTGCAGAATTGCGCAAATGAAACCGTAGCGTCTGCATTGATTTCGGTTGTTCCAAAAATCTTTGCATCTGAAAGTTTGAATAATAAAAAAGTGGAAATTTCGATAGATTATTCAGTTATTCAACACAAATTTTGGTGAAATTTTGTTGCTGTTGTCTATAGATAAGCAAACGCTTAGAATGTTCACTTAGAAGATTGTTATTCAATCAAGAGTTTATTTATTCTTTCAATACTCACACAAATAACGGAAATCTTCGTACGCCAAAGGAGAACCAACATAACATTCGAATTTGGTGTTCAAAACTGACGCTAATTTAGGCCATGTAACGCTATCGACGGTTGAAAATGGATTATCATCAGTTTCAGCAAACGCATTGGTCCAAGTAATAGTAGCCCAAGCTTGAGGCTCTTGAGCCCCAAAAACAACTACCACAATTGGCAACGACATCGTCCAAATATCAATCTGAGTGTCGCCAATTTCGAATTTCGAATGAAATGTTAGCACGTATTTTTTGTCAGTCATAGATGCCTCCTCACTGGATCGTGTGACCTTTTTAATCATCATTCTTTTCAGTTTACACTTCAAAGCGAGCTTGTCCTTTTCAAATGGTACGACATTCTGCGAAATTCTGCCCGAATCTTCGGGTATTGGCATCGATTGGTTCAGCTGTGTCAATGCCTGTGCTTCTGTTGGGTAACATAGTAATCAGTCAGATAAGTCCAACACTTTAAAATTGGAGCTAAATGGAAATGAAAACTCACCCGTTTGTATGGAAACGCTGATATTTGGTCTATTCGAAGTGTTGCCGAACTCGGTGATTAGCATACGCACAGTTGCACCAAACCTATTTAGATCAAATTCAATTGAAATTTAATGCTTCGTTTCAATGCAGAGGGAAAAATGGGAAAAATGTTTTCTTCATCAAATAAAGAGAAACATTTTGGAACATGTTGCCAGATTAAAACTTAAATGGAAGAACAAAAAAAACGTATTTTCAAAAAGGCTTCATTCTAACTACCTTGTATCCTTCTGAATAACTTGTGGCGGTTGCATTTCAATGACGAGGCTCGATGAAATCAGTTTTTTCCGGAGATTTAGCACTTTATCATGAAGCACTTCAAGTTTAATTTTATCGAAATTCTTCCTTTGAATGTAAGTAATGCAAACGATATCGATTATTTGACACACACTTATGATACCGGCAAAAAGTTTATTAAACCAATTTTGCATTTGATCGAGTTCTTTATTATCGGGTTTCACTTCAAATGGCGTCGGTAATTGATTAGCACTTAGATATTGATCACGTTTCAACTGATCTAATCGTTGAATCACCATATTTTGTATTTCTACCAGTTGGTTAACAATGTTTTCAATTATTGTGAACATTTCAGCAGGTTCATGTTCAATTGGTCCATTGCACCACTGCATAAACGTACTGATAAGAATACATAATGCCGAAATTTTAGCATCGATTTCATTTGATTGGTTCATATTGTTTTGTGATACATTTTTCATTTCCATATATTTATTCCTCATAATGTGGCAATTTTGAACACTGAACGGTGAACAATATTATTTAAAATCTATTGAATAAAAAATAAAATAAAATATTAGTCATTCGGTCTGTAGACATTTATGCCCATTCCAAGTGGGCTCAGACTTTAAAGTCCGGACTAAAAAAATTTTTTTTCGTTTTTTTCACAGTTTTCTGGGGAAATATCGGTGAAATCTAAGGGCTTGCAACAAGTTGTGAGATTCACATAGATTCGCATATATTCATGCGTTCGTGGCTTTGTTATTGTTGTTGTACACTCACTGCGCTGCGAATGTCTCGTATACACAGTCGTACGATTCACAAAAACTCGTACAAATTCGTCTCAAGCGCTTGTATTCTTTGCCCCAAGGGTGAAATGGAATGAATTAGGACGAATAATGCGGATTTGGATCAATAGCCGCCCTTTATTCACTCATATTTTTTATTTGTTTGACTTTGAAAAAATCATTTCTTCCCAGAAAAAAATCGAAAATTTCCAAAAAAAATAGATAAAATCAATTTACAAAATCTGCTGTTTTTTTTAAATGAAAATCCACATTATTCGTCTAATTCATTCCCTTCCAACGAAATGTCCCCAAGAAACAGTTTTATTCTTGTCACATAAAACTTAGTGTTCTCATATGACTTCGAAATTTAACATCTTTTTCTGTTAATTTGACTTTTTTCAGTTTTAAATTCCAAAAAAACACGAATCCAACGCTGTTTCGTAGAAACAATTCATTTAATATCTTTTAAAAATTTGAATTCTTAGCGAAAATCTCATTTTGAGCGATAAATTTGTATATTTTAAGTTTTACTTTAATTTTTAGCCAAATATATCCGTTTGCTGAGTTCAGCTAGTCGAGAATGGGGCCTTCCGATTTTATGACTTGATAAACTTTCCGGCCAAACAAAGTTAGTTTTACTGAATAAATTTATGACAATCTTTTCCTCAAAAAAAAATTGTGGACAATTCTTTCGGTTGAACCAACTTCATTTAGAAAGAAATAAATCCATTTGTGCCATTCCCAGCTAGCTGAAAACTCAGCAAATATCCAGCCAGAAATTAAACACTGATTTTTTTTTTTACCACAAAGAATTTTTTCCACCAAAATCTATGCTCATTGATAATACAAACGTTTCCCCATATCTTGACGAACGATTCAAAATTTTCGTTTTTTTTTTGAAAAATCGAACAAAATTATTTCCTAACTTGGTTAGGTTATAGCAAAATTTGTTCATAATTAAAAGAAAAATGTTCATAAAAGAAAAATCAATCCGTATGCAATAATGCGTTAAAATACTACACACTCACAATTTAATAAAAAGCTAGAAAGTTGAGTTATGTATAGCTTCGTTGTCGCTGACTTTTATACAGCCGTTCTAGTGACACACAGGAACTGAATAACAACCATATTATGTTGACCGTTTATATATACATTCCTTCGTAAACGATAAGTCATTGTTCGTGGAAATTCGATTAATGATGTGTTTTTTTTGCTTTCTCTCGGAATTCTATTTATGATATGATGTGCATTGCACATATTTGAAACAAATCATTTCTGTGGAACTGTTTAAACGATTCAAGTGGAGTTTCCATTGGGTGGTAGATACGAGATTGAAGACTTACATAATTTCCAAACTATTACTTGAATTTTTTCGAATAGACTGACAGATCTGGTGCATGAAATATTATGTATATTCGATCATATCGTCAATGAATGGTAGGTGAATATATTGTAACGTATATATGCGTAGTTGTAAAAACCTACCGTACCATATGAATCAACGATCACCGACAATTTCCATCTAGTCACTTATTTTATCGAAATTCTTCTCTGGTTAGCCCAATTTATGTTTCGATGGTAAGATTAACTGAAACATAACTGTTTTTTATTGCTTTCAATTGAATTGTGGTTGAAGTGGACAATTTATGAATTTAAAACTGGATGGGGTACGTGTTAGACGTTTCTAATCAGAATTCAAATAAAACCTCATCCATTTGAATTGATTAATTTGGAAAGCATTATTGGGGCGTGTCTCCTTTCGGGCGTGCCCCAAAACTTTTCTGGGGGGCGTTCATTTACAACAAACCATATCTTGGCTTGTTTTGCAGTCATCTGCCAGATCGTACAAATTTTAAGATTTTTCTCGTAATTCTATGAAATCAGAACAAATTGAGAGTAAGAATTCGGGCCAACAGGAAGTGATTTAAGGCTACTTCTCATACAAATATTGCCGTTTTATGAATTTAAGAATATCCAAAGAAAAGAAAGAAGATAGGAAAAAAGCGCCTTTACCTTTAAAACCAGTACATTGATGTCAATCACATCCGTTCAATTTCCTTACTTGTTTTTTTCCGTTGATTTCATTAACTGCGAAATAGCTGTGCATTTCTCAATTATCAGATTCTTTCAACAACATTTCTACGTTAATTGTTAATCAAAATTATCAACAAGTCCGTTTCCTGAAAAACCAGCAAATCATAAATTTTTCTGCGTAAGTCGGCTTCGATTTCGACGCAATGATTTCAACTGTTCAAGTACAGTGAAATGTTTTGTAATTTGATTTTTATCACAAAACACGTTAAGGAGTCTGCATTTTTTTTAGGAATGAAGCCACATTTGACAGATATATTACGTTTTAAGTTTTAGATTGAGACAATAGTTGCTAAAATCTAACGTCAAATTAGACAATATCAAACGCATACATTCACATTGAGACTTAACGTAACAAAACACAAAACTTTTCGCGCGAAATGTGAAATTAATGAAAAATGTGGTGGACCGATTTTGAAAACCAAATAGAATCAAAAATTTATTGTGCGGGATCGATAGATCATGCGAACTCACAATGTCTATGGAACGATGTGATATGTGGCACAACTAGGTGATGGCCGCAGAAGTTTTGTCAAAATTCATACACAACCAATTTGACATTCAGTTACATAGTTACATAGTTCAGCTAACCCATAGTACATCCATTCATGGGCTAGGTGCGCCACCAGCGTGAAAAAATATGACAGTATATGATTAATACACAGCACATTGCGAGTTCGGATCATGGGAACCGATGAAAACTTCGTTTTGGCCTAGGGTTTACTAGAAAGTTCGACTTTTTTTTGCTGGTTTTTCAGAAACTTTGTCAAATTTGAGGGTCAAATCACTGTGTAACGATAGTTCTATGTCTAGATATGCAATCCTTGTGAATAATTAGCTCATATTTGACCATTTTCAAGCAGATAAATAGTCTTGAGTAAATTTGTAGTATAAAAAGCTTATTTTACACACACACACACACACCAATTGATTAAAGTTCCTACACTTTTCACAACTAATATGGCAATTGTTCACGATTGTTCCAGTTAATAAATTACTGTGTTTCGTGAATATGTGTATCTGTCTGTTGTGCAAATGTTAAACGCGCTTCTGTGTGCACCGGGAATCAAAGTTTATTTTAACCCTCTAATGCATTAATTTTTCCCAGGGCTGGGAGTAAGGGAGATGGTTCAGTTGTAAGACGGGTTTTGTTTTTGACCTAAAAAATTGTCTGTGGCTTTCAAAAATGAAAAGTTAGAGTTCTATCATGTAGCACGTCCAGACGCAACTTTTTTCCGAAGAAAGTATAGTGATTCCAGTTACTTGAAAAAATGTTTGACCAATTTTGTGAGGACTAGTTTTTTGGCTCCAAAAATATTTTGGTCCAGTTGTGAGACACTCAGAAAAATTGAATAGAAATGGGAATAAGTCTCTATAGCGTATGTCAGAAAAATTTGGGTGTCTCACAACTGGACCTGTCTCACAACTGGACCATCTCCCTTACTGGTACTTGGTTGATTTTTGGCCATAGATATTTAAAAAAATATTCATAATCCTGGATTCCTCATGGTTCAGTCAGGGAATTTTTGTTTATAACTTTACAATCACACTACATAGACAAATATTGCCAAAGACAAATATAAAGAGAAAACATTGACGAATAAAAATTCTCTTTGAAGCAATGTGATCCGATGTACGGTTTACTTTCTACAGGCATTCAAATGTTGCCCGTCTAGAGGCGGTTGTATGCACTAGAGGGTTAAGCGAGAATTTAACCAACAAATTGAAAATTTTCTATATTTAGTTGTAATCACTGATCATCCTAGTAATTGTCTAAATTATTTTGATAAATCAAGTGTATCTTGATCAGTCACAGTTTTTTTTTTCAAAAATGAAAAACAACAATAATTCTTTGATGTTCCTGTGTGAGCCTTTGTGACAGATGAATGAATTAACAAAAAAAAAAACTGCGAACAATAATGACAATACTGAATTCGACTCAACATTTGTTACATAACTAGTGGCTGAAAAAATATGAAATAAAGAAAAAATATGGATAGTTGTAATAAACTGCGTAAAGTTTCAAAACGATATATTGTGTTATTAGCGTTAAGGCACTATTTCCCAGGCCAACGATCGCTCACGATTGCAACCATGCACGATCTTCTCAATATATTTTCCATGTAAAAGATTGTGCAAGATTCCAATCGTGAGTGATCGTGAGCGATCGTGAGCCTTGGAAATATTGGCTTATTTATACAGTAAAGTGTTCCATTTTGTGCTTTTTGCGTTCAACCTAAAATAAGCTTAGCGACGGCTTCAATCTTACATTTATAATAAGCTCATTATAAATTTTGACTTCATTGTAGAATAAATCCTTTATGGTCTTCCATATTTAAGTCTTACTTAATTCATTATTTTATATCGTATACAGAGAATCGATTCAGCGTAAATATAGTTGAAAAACTAAAATTTCAGTGAATGAATTCGTATACACGTTAAAAAAGCCGAATATTATCTATAAAAAAACACTAATACAAAATAATAAATGGCAAATCATTCTTTTTTCTCTTTGTGGACATTATTTCCTACATTTTCAATACAAAGTGAATTTTTTAAATACTGTGGTGCAATTCGTTTAAAAATGGTCGTGCTGAGGTGGTGTAGAGACTATACAATTTGGTTGTATCGTCTCGGCACGACAATTTTCAAATATTTGAGTCCATTTTTACGGATCAAACAAAATATTTGAAAATTGTCGTGCCGAGACAATAAAACCGAATCGTATAGTCTCAACACCACCTCGGCACGACCATTTTCAAATATTCCGTTTATCCTGTAAAAACGTACTCAAATATTTGAAAATTATCGTGCCGCGACGATACAACCAAATTGATCGTTGCACAATGCACATTCTTATGTAACAAACGGCATGACAATTTTCAAATATTATGATTTCGAAAGTGAATATCATGTTAGTTTTCCTCAATAAAAATTTAAATATTAAAATATTGACTTTTTTTTAAATGTTCGCTATGAATAGGTCATTTTCAGAGCGTAAAATTTGACAGATACCCTTGTCGACGTTAAAGGGGTGCGTAGAGTGTCGGTATTGAGCAATGAAATGTACTAAACACGTGATTGTGTATTACTATTATGAGTAGTATTTAAAAAAAATTCACTTTGTATTGAAAATGTGGGAATTAATGTCAACAAAGAGATAAAAGAATGATTTCACCGTGCAACGCATGTTTCTGCACATGAGAAATTCCGATTGCTTGTTTTAGAGGACCAAAAACCAAGCACTTTTGCATCATTAGTTTGTTCGAAACCACGTCTAGATTTTTTTTTATCAACACATATAACCCAAATTTCAGGTCAAAATGAGCAAATCACAAACAAGAGCTTCGATTTGATAGGTAAATGCAAATGATTTCTACCTTTTCTGCCTTTGAACAACTAGTATGATCCTTTACAAACATTTTGGGTACTTACATGACCAAATCGAGTGATGTTTTCACATATTTCTGGCCGCATATTTGGTTGGTTCGATTTTAACTCTAAAAGAATCGACTTTTTCCAAAAAATCCTTAAATATAGGCTTTTCAGGGATAGTATCTTAGCGCAAAGTTATTTTTTCTCGAAAATATGGGGAGTCTACACAGACAAAAACTCTCAAAATTGACTTTTAGAGGTACCTCCCGAACAAAGTTACGTTTTTCATGCATTTTGCTATGAAAATATCATTTTTTGTTCGGGAGCTACCCCAAAAATACACTATTTGGATGAGTTTCTTAGTAAAAAATTAATTTTTTCGAGAAATATTGGGAATCTTCTCACACAGAATCTCTTAAAAATTATTTTTGGGGTAGCTCCCGAACAAAAAAATGATATTTTCATAGCAAAATGCATGAAAAACGTAACTTTGTTCGGGAGGTACCTCGAAAAGTCAATTTTGAGAGTTTTTGTCTGGGTAGACTCCCCATATTTTCGAGAAAAAATAACTTTGCGCTAAGAAACTATCCCTGAAAAGCCTATATTTAAGGATTTTCTTGGCAAAGGTCGATTCTTTTAAAGTTGAAATCGAACCAACCATATATGCGGCCAGAAATATGTGAAAACATCACTCGATTTGGTCTATAAGTACCCAAAATGTTTGTAAAGGATCATACTAGATGTTCAAAGGCAGAAAAGGTAGAAATCATTTGCTTTTACCTGTCAAATCGAAGCTCATGTTTGTGATTTGCTCATTTTGACCTCAAATTTGTCTTATATGTGTCGATAAAAAAAAATCTAGACGTGGTTTCGAACAAACTAATGATGCAAAAGTGCTTGGTTTTTGGTCCTCTAAAACAAGCAATCGGAATTTCTCATGTGCAGAAGAAAAAGTTGAAATTTGTTACACGGTGTTTGCCATTCATTATTTTGTATTAGTGTTTTTTTTAGATAATATTCGGCTTTTTTAAAAGCAAAGTTACAACACTTGAAATTGGTCGTGCCGTGTTTTAGACTTGATGATGACATTTTTTTTTCACTCTTATGTGTGTTTATGAATTGGGTTTATGAATGAAAAAGTAATTTTATATAAAATTGGAAAGGCAATAAATAAAATTTTCATCAGAACCAGTGATGGTTTTTCGTTAGCCAGCATTGTCTTAGCCTTGGCTTACACCAACAACTGGTGTAAGCCAATCGTTAGCCAGCTATCTGTGTGAAATGAGTACATCCAAAGTATAATAATTTTTGATTTGAGTATTCTGATTCAAATCATACAAATTAAAAAAAAAATTAATATATTTCAATTAATTTTCAATTTAAAAGTCATTTTTATAACTATTTCAAAAGAGTTATTATTTTTTCAAAAACTTAATAAAAAAATGTCGATGTTTGGTTTCATTTAAACTCTGGCCTGTTGATTTAAATGTCAGTCACAAACGTCAGTTCAGATGAGTGCGTTCAGTTCTTACTGAAGTTTTCTCACTGGTCTACACATTTGTTAGCCAGTATACACTTATGCGGCTAATTAGCCAGCTAATTGGTTCTTCACTGATCAGAACCGTGCGAGAAGATATTAGTATCACCAACCATAGGCGACATAGAAAACATTCAATTTAGTACATCTGTCAAAAAGCACGAAAATACCTGATGTTCTTTATGCTGAAATGATTCTGTTTGTATGAAGCATGTCCGCGAGCGCCTCTTATGAGCCAGCTCCTCAATACATTAGCACTCAGCTCATAGAAAGCTGGCTCATTTACGTGACGTTAATATAGTGTGTGTTCAGGCATTTGCCCAAAAGCGTCGCCTTTGATAAAGCTTTGAACATTGTTCAAAGTCGAAAAATGGTCTAAACTTATTAATAAATTTATTTTATTTTTTGTGTATTTATTATAATAATCGCGAACTCTGAAAAGAATCAAACAATTGACAATTTTTGGAATTTAAATTATACCTTTAAAGAATGTTCATGTTTCGTTATAACGAACTTTTACCCAGTGAAACATACAACGGTATGACTACATGCAACGGTCTATGTCGCCAGATCGTACATGTTTGTTGGGCAGAAAATGTCTCAAAAGCAAGCATCGGTTCGGATATAGAAATATGCGAAGCATAGACGTATACGAACGACCGTGCGACGAACGTATCAACGGGCGATCGTGCATTGCGAGACGCACGCGTAAGTGTGTGTATGAATACAGTATACAGCAAACAACGATGGCTCTGGTAATACGTTCGTCGCACGGTCGTCCGTATGCGTCTATGCTTTGCAAATTTATATAGAATAGAACATCTAGGTAAACATATTTCTATGTCCAAACCGGTGCTTGCTCAAAAGCTCTGTCCATTTTTTTTAGAACTTCTGGAATACAATTCGTACCATGACTTGTTTTTTTTTTAAATTATTATTTACGTTACTACTTTGTATACAAAAGAAATGCTTCAAAATCGATTATTTGGTCATTTTTCTTAAAATACGTTAGAGTTAGTTTCATTTGATGGAATAATTGATGGAATAATTCCAGAAAGGGCTTGATTTAAAATGCTCATCACTTCATCATCCAGCTCACATTGATCAAAAACCATGATATTCGATTCGTTATCATCTGGGCTACAATTCCATATCAAAAAAAAAAGATGGGAATAACTAAATTTGTGTAAATGTGCCGGTTAAGGCACCATTTCCAAGGCACACAATTGCAATCGTGAACGATCTGTTTGCAAGATACAGATCGTTGCCTTGGAAATAGCAACTCTACTAGACCATCTCTAGAGAAAAAAGACAGTTTCTTGTTTGAAATCGGAAAGATCGTCCTACGATTCACAACCATTTGCCTTGAAAATAGTGCCACTACTCACTTAACCCTACCACATTGGACAGAAAAATATAAGTGACATATTTAAAGCCAAAAAAAAAACTAGTGCGATAATAAAATGTTGTTAAGAATTTATAAACAATTTGGTGTTTACAACAAATTTGTTAAAATAAGACTCCTTTAGGAGTTAAGAAACAATGTGCATGACAATTATATAATTGTATATTATTCTTAGGTTTTTTTTTTAAATTGAAATTTGTGTAGTAATTACTTTGAAGCTGAATGTGGAGATTGTGCCGCATTTGGTGATGAGATTAGCCAACCGGGATTTGGTGTTTGCCAATTTGGTGGGCTGTTCTGAGAAAGGCTGTTTGGCGAACCAATGTTTGAAGGAGAAGGGCTTGGGATTGACCTATTCTCAGATTTCGTTACGAATTGACCTACGCGGTAACATCAATCATAAAAGATTGGAGTTTATGACAAATCTCGATGAAATCATTCCATAGAATTGACATCCATAGAATGAAAGATCAAATTATAAGCTCTTTATCCATAACTGAGACGGTAAAAAAAACAATTTGGAGAAAAAAAGAGACAAATAAAGTTGCGAGCAAAAGTGACACAACTCAGTATTGAGGGGAAAACACGTTTTTTACACCTTTCTCGCTACTATACGAAAGAAATAGCGACTAGGTGTCTTCGGCTTATTTGTAGTTCTTACTGAGCTGTGTCCCTTTTGCTCGCAACTTTATTTGTCTCTTTTTTTCTCTAAGTTTTTTTCCCGTCACAGTTATGGATAAAGAGCTCATAAGTTGTTCTTTCATTCTATGGGTGTCAATTCATATAAAGAAGAATATATAGCTTACGATGTTTTGGAACATATCCATTGGTAGGTTTAACGATTGGTGTATAATATTCACTGAATGCCGTTTCCTTTGGAATTGGACACGTATTTGGTGTATTGGGATACAATTGGGTACAATCAGCGAGTTCTTTGACAATATCACCAATGGTTTGTTTCGGATTGTCAAAATCGTTGTTAGTAATTGGTTGCAAAATTTTGACTTCCGTTAATCCGTCAGCATTGCGTTGAACCCAAGCTGGCGAAATGCCACCTGAAATTCAGAAAAAATCACACACAAAATGCAAATTAGAAAGAATCCATCAGTAATGACGCTGAAAATAAGTCAATATTTACCAAGTTCACTGTCAGAGAATCGTAGCAAGAATGTGCCTGCAGGACAGGTGCGAAGCAATTCTTCGGTTTTACATTTACTAATGAAACCATGGATGAAACCTTTGTTCCATTGTTTGCTGAGATGCAATCGCGTTAGTTTTGTTGCTTCGTAGAACCAAGTAAAAAAAGAAAAACTTCGATCGGGCAATGGATCCTTGCAGAATTTTTCCCATGAAATTGAACGACCTTGCTTTGGGAGCAGGCCGAAAATCTTTTCATCTGTAAATAAATTCAATAAGATATTGGATAAAATCAATGTTGAACATCGAAGTGTTTTATAAGTGAGCTATGTGATATTTACACAAATATTGTAAGTGTTCTTCGGTTAAAGTGCAGCCCGTTTGATATTCAAATCGCTTGCTTAGAGCCCATTCCATATGCGACCACGGCACTTTGCCACGTGTGACGAATGGCATTCGACCGATCTCAAAAAATGAATTGTCCCATGTGATTGTGGCCCAACCTTCATGCTCTTGATTTCCATGCACTGCAACCGTCATTGGCAATGACGTTGTCGAAACCTTGACCCAATTTAGAAAATCGTTGGAAAAAGGTAAGAAAAAAAAAAACAAAATCAACTAAAGTACGATACAGATTTTGGCGGTGACATACAATGTATTAGCTCGCACTAATGACAACTAGTACATGAACGAGGTATGATATCAGTTGGTGTGAGTGGGACAAAATTTGATACCGCCAATACTTTGCAAAAATCTCTTGCCGTTCTTTCAATAATTGTTTATTTAGCAATCGAAATTGACTTACATTGACCGGAATGTTGCAAATTTGTAATGTTGTTTCAAAGAGCATGGAAAACTTTTCATCCATCACACTTGAGGAGGATTTTTTATCGGTTCGTTTGATTTTCTTCAGTTGTATATTCCTTAAATGGCATATGTAACGATGCTTGTGCCATGGACTTTTCTCTAAAACGCAATCATCCATAACCATTTCACCCGTAGGTTTTTCTTCTTTTGGGCGTGGCAATTGCTGCAATTGTCTACGGGTCTGTAATTCTATTTATATTGGACGAGAATTTTGATAAGAGTTAGTAGTATGGAGTGTGTTTCAACGTGATATTAGTTGAGTGTGGAATGAGTCAAACTTAAGTCTGAATGTGTTAACCAATTTCAACTTTCATTTCAATTTTTCTTCGTCATTTGTTTTCTTTTTGACCCTATCAATCGTCTTTATTGATTTAAATGAGACGTACATGCTGGGAGATGGAGTTTCGGTTTTGCCTGCTCTTTGAGTGATATTTTTTTTTAGATTCACTGAGCTATTCAGTCTGAGTATTTTGAAAATCTGAACATTTTTTTCGGTTTTTTTTTCTCCTAAATTTTTTGGCCTTCCACACTACACAAAGCTATTCTTAACCAGAGCCCCATTAAAATTGCTCCGCCAGGAAATATTCATTCCCATAGGAATTGGAATCGCACGTCTGATTTAAATTCAAAAAGAGATGGAGTTTCCAGTATAGAAGGAAAAACTCACCCGATAAAATCGAAACAATCACCCGTGGCTTGATTTCCGTGATGGTATTAGTGTAACTGGGTAAAAGTAGCCGAACATTAGCTTCAAATCTGTGAATTAATCAAAATTATTTTAAAATAGTGCGATTTGTTTCTTTCGGTGTTTCTATTTGCTAAGATTTCTTTTCAAATTAATCATTCAATATTTCTGAGTCATTCTCGAAATTGCCCATTCAAATTCGAGTCGAAATTATTCGATTCATTCAACTCAGTTGGTACCTTACCTCGTATCTTTTTTGATAACTTGCGGCGGTTGTTCGTCTACAATGAAGCAAGAGCCAATCAGTTTCTGTAGAATAAATTTGATAACACGAGTGGCTTCCTTTTCAAAATTATTAGTATAATTTGCTTGGCTATAGCAGCCTCGAATGATATCCAACAATTTGCGAGTTTTTAAACAACAATCAAATAATGCTTCGAATTGTTGTTGAATAACATCAAGTGCAAATTTCAGCTGTGGATTTTTATCTTGTATATTAGATGACGTTCCAGTATTTCCATCACCATATCCAGCCAAAATTTGATCATATTTCCACTGGCTCAAACGATTATCAATTAGAATTTGTTGGGCATCGTGCAACAATCTGACAACAATTTGAATTGAAGCTAAAATCGGATCACTTTCTTGTGTAATGTGTAACCAAATTTGATTTGCAACAACAACCAATGCATCTATTTGATTCTTTACTTCAATTGTTTGTGGAGCCTCTCTCAATTTTTCAATTTGTTGTGCATATTGTTTGGATTGTTGAACATTGTTTTCAAAGTTATTCTTGAATATCTCTACAGCTATGCCATTTTCATCGATTAGTTGACGTGATTGTTGGATTTTATTGTTAAATTCACTTATAACATTGTCCATATTGTTCAATTGCGCAGCATTTAGTTCATAAAAGGTTACTGGGCGATTTGCTTCCATTTTATTTGTTCCAAATTTTAACACTTGAACAAAACAAAAATTGATAGTCACTTTGTATTTTAAATATTACCTAAATGTTCCAATCTAACACAATCTTCGATTACTTGATCCGAAATTCAAATTCAATAGACACTGTCTATTAGACAGTGAAAGATTAAGCGAAATTTCGTTTGAATTCCGCGTTTATAACTGACGTAATCAATTACGGCTCTAAATTATTCACTTACTCCACCCAATAATTTCTACGATTGAATGACATGACTGATGCAACGATTGCTTCAACACAATTTCAAACGAAATATCGTCCACACTCAACAAAGTCAGCACACGTACTAAAGCGTCATATCACAATCAGTATATATTCAAATCAACGCTTCACTAAAACGATCTACAGTCTCCATAAAGAAAGTTTCACCAATACATAGGGAAATACGTTGAAATCGACAGATTAAAATAGGCAGACAGCGATGCACATTTCATAGAACACAACAACAACAACAACAACAAGCGTTTAGAGACCATTGATGCCTTCATAAAACACAGTTAATATATTTACATTTGAATATTACTTGTGATTTTGCCGCACAGCATCAGCTGCTGCTGATAACATAAATAATAATAATAATAACACATCGTTCGCTCGCATAAGTAGCTCGTATATAAACAACACTTCGTCGAAATGTTGTACATTTCACAGAAATGGTTATCGCTTAGTTCATGTTATCGCCTGGTTGTTGGTCTGGTATTTTGTGATCTCTGAAAACACTGTGAATTAAATGGGTTTTAACGAAATTTGACTGTACAGGGTGGGCCTCGTGTGATGCCGGCACATCTATATTTTTCTTCTATATTATTTTTATTATTATTTATTGACACCGCCAAATACTGGCTGAATGATAGATTACATGGTTCGTGTTAAATTGTACATAGGGTTTGGTAAGGTATAGATTAGTTGTTGTTTTTTGTTGTAGATTTGTGTTTAGTTTATAACTTCTGTTGTTGTTTAGGTTTATGTTTAGGATTTTCTACTAGGTAGAGCATAGGTGTTAAATAATTAATAACAAATAAAAAAAATACACAAATTGAATAAATATATAAAAACGACAATGATTGACTAGTAACAATGAGCTTTTGAATAGATAATTTAGTTGCTATTTTCGTACCAAAGACAGCGTCAGGTAGATTTTGTAACTTTTGTCGAAAATGATGATGTGGAAGCGTTGGATCAATGAGAAAAGCTACATTGTTAAACATCCGGCATGCGTTGTTGAATGGTGACAGAAGAAATTGAAATAGATTATTATATATTAGATAGTATTGAAATAGAAATATATAGGCTACTATCTACTAAAGACATAGAAGGATGTGGAACGTGCCAAGGTTGTATGTGACGAAGTGGCCCACTGGTGACGTGTGGAGCCCGACCCGACAAAGAATCCACCCAAGCGGGCGCCACGCAATAGACAGAAATGGGCGGGCGCCACGCAATAGTCGCCTGAGCGACGAGTGAAATACTCCCCGTACTATCCATAAATCCATAATCTACTAACAGAGATTGCATATTTGCTGCTGAGTAGGCCTGAGCTGAGCTGAATTTGCTAGATCAGGCGCCTGAAGCGTTATTTTAACGCATTCACAGTACAAAATTCATATTCCCAGCCAGATTTGCCAAGTCAAATTTGAGGCTGATCTGGCTGGGAATATAAATTTTGTACTGTGAATGCGTTAAAATAACGCTTCAGAAAATTCAGCTCAGCTCAGCTCAGCTCAGGCCTACTCAGCAGCAAATATGCAATCTCTGCCTACTGAAGACAGAATCACTCGAACATATTTCATTGGATTAAATGGATGATCTTGAAAAATGTGAATTTTATAGGCCAAAAATGGTAAGTGACACTTATTCTGGCCCACTCTGTACATTATAAACCCGCACATATGTGATCAACAAATAGAAAAAAACGCCCAAATTAAGTATATAAGAAAAACAATATGAATTTGAAATTCCAAAATCCAGTGAAACATACGCCGATAAAAAATCGCTTTAACCGCGCTAAACCATGATTAAATGAATGTTTGCGGACAAAACTAATATTTCAAATCATATTATTTTCAGATGAAACGCACAGGAAAGATTTTAAAGTGAAATATTGCCAGAAATTACCAGCATCCTTCGAAGTGTACCGCTGTCTGTTAAATTCCAAGAAAATTTGTTTTGAATGATCACCATATAGATCGTTTGCGCTGGGTTTTCAATCAAACATGCGTTTTCCGATGTCTAAGCATCTCAGCATTTCGTATGCTGTGGATATATCCGAGCATATCGACAACGCATACTGTATATTGCAGTGACGTGCGCTGCTACGCCACTGTATTATACAGTATGTGTCGTCGATATGCTCAGATATATCTGTAGCATACGAAATGCTGAGATGCTCAGCCATCGGAAAACACATGTTTTTTTTTTTTTCAATTGAATAAATGGGTGACTGCCGTTGGTCTCACAACTTCTATTCCATTCATTTTTGGTAGAGATAAAAGTGTCGTTGAAATTATTCTTGATAATTTAATTAAAAATCGGGTCACAATAAAGTCTGCATTGAAATCATCACACAATTAAAACTCGGTTGTTTTTCTACAATATTTACAAAGCATTTTTATCATCTTTGTATGTTGAGCTGTATTTCCTGCGTATTTTCCAGATGATAACAATATCAACTCACTGAATCAAGACTCAAGTAAAAATTCACACTAATAAAATCGCTATGCTGTAGTTATGCTCACACTGATTGTCGTTCAGAAATTAGTGTGACCCATACATTTGTGAGCGACAATGAGTGTGGCATATATTTAGAGTGTGTAGTGTATGTATGTAACACTCGTTGACGCTCAAAAATGTATGGGCCACGCTGAATTCTGGACGACAATCAGTGTGTGCATTGTGTACACACTCCGATTCGATTTCCTGGCACGTTAGAGCAAACGAGTGTACAATATTGTTTGAAAGAGAGCGAGCGATAAACACACAAATTGACACTGAAAATGCTTTGCACTCGACGCCGAGATCTCAGTGTCTAGTGTCCACTCTCTGTATGGTAACCGAGCGTGAATTTTGCTACTGAATTGCCAACAGAAACCATTAATGAATCTGAAAATCTTCTGAATCTGTCGGAGCACTTCTGAATGCTTTTGAATAGCTTCCAAAATGGACGAATCTACTGAAAATGAGTAATGGTCCGCGGTCAGTCGTGATTTTCGCGAAGCTGATAAAAGATAGAGGTTTGGTGTCTTCGACAAAGTTGTAGTACTCAAAGTCTCCTATAATTTTGCTCAAGATTGCTATGTCTTATCTCTTACCAGTTAGGCGCAAATCAAAAACACGCGCATATAGCAAGGTTTTTTTGCTAATCAATTTTCGCGTTTCCCACGAAACTGATAAGAGATAACTGATAACTGTCTAAAGCAAAGTTGTGGAGGACCACTATAAAATTTTGTGCACTATAAAATTTTCTAAGACACTAGGTCGTTATCTCTTATCAGTTCCGCGAAAAACAAGGTAAACCACGGATGTACACCAAATTTCGCGGTTTTTCGCGTTATTCGCGAAACTGATAAGAGATAACTGGAAACTGTCTGGAGCAATGTTGTTTGAAATTTTAAATTCTATAAAAACTGTGAAGACGTCAATTCTTTATCTTTTATCACTTCCGCGAAAAACGCGAAAAACCGCGAAATTTGGTTTACAGTCGTGGTTTACCTTGTTTTTCGCGGAACTGATAGGAGATAACGACCTAGTGTCTTATAAAAATTTATAGCGCATGAGCCACTTTACAACTTCGTTTTAGACGATTATCAGTTATCTCCTATCAGTTTCGTGGAAAACGCGAAAAATGATAAGCAAAAAAACCTTGCTATATGCGCGTGTTTTTGATTTGCGCCTAACTGATAAGAGATAAGACATAGCAGTCTTGAGCAAAATTATAGGAGACTTCGAGTACTACAACTTTGTCGGAGACATTAAACCTCTTTCTCTTATCAGCTTCGCGAAAATCGCGACTGACCGCGGACCATTACTCATTTTCAGTAGATTGCTCCATTTTGGAAGCTATTCAAAAGCATTCAGAAGTGCTCCGACAGATTCAGAAGATTTTCAGATTCATTTATGGTTTCTGTTGGCAATTCAGTAGCAAAATTCACACTCGGTTACCATACAGAGAGTGGACACTAGACACTGAGATCTCGGCGTCGAGTGCAAAGCATTTTCGGTGTCAATTTTTGTGTTTATCGCTCGCTCTCTTTCAAACAATATTGTACACTCGTTTGCTCTAACGTGCCAGGAAATCGAATCGGAGTGTGTACACAATGCACACACTGATTGTCGTCCAGAATTCAGCGTGGCCCATACATTTGTGAGCGTCAACGAGTGTTACATACATACACTACACACTCTAAATATATGCCACACTCATTGTCGCCCACAAATGTATGGGTCACACTAATTTCTGAACGACAATCAGTGTGAGCATAACTACAGCATAGCGATTTTATTAGTGTGAATTTTTACTTGAGGAGTATTTGAAAAGAATGACTCCGAATGTGATGGCAAAAGTGATTTCAACGAAAAGATTTCTAATAATGTTTTAACGAAACACAATTTCATTCCAATGATTCTGAAGTTTATCAAGGCGTCCAAATATTGCTGGAATGAAAAGATGATAACAGTTATGTACGTCAGTGGCGGTAGGAAATTTTTTATTCAGATCTTATTTTGAATTTCTTACAATTATTATCATAAAGCGATTGCTTGAGCGTAAAATACATTGGTTCTTATGGAGACTGAATGTTAAGATTTTTTGAAGAGCAAAACTAGTGAAAATATTCATGAATTAACACAAAGTTTCTATCTTAATTGCATTGAAAAACACCCAAATAACGCTTAAAAGTAGGCAAAATTGCCCGTTCAATCATTTCAACATGTGAAGCACACATTTTTGTGGCGTAAAAAGTCTCAAGCAATCGCTTCTTGATTAATATACAGTGATGTCAAGACAACAACAGCATTTCGATAGAGCATCAAAAATTCCCCGAATGACCGTATGCTTATGTCGTTTGAAATATTCGGCTAGCGAATATGTGTACGATTCGATGTAAAATAAAGCTAGTGCCTCACCCTTAGATGTTTATTGCGTTATGCTTCCGGTTTCGTGTAATGTGTATAATGAACACTGTTTATTACGTGTATATGGTCACGGTCACGCATCAGTAACGTTACAAATTTCACACATTTTTGCTCATCTCTTCAAATTAAAACTCATAGCTTTTTTATTGCATACTAGCTTCCT